AGTGTTTTCCAAGGGAATTTTGTTTGAAAAATAGGTATCTCGTATGCCTAGGATGGTGGAAAAAAAATCATTTTAATACAATAATGTTAATTGCAACTTTTCATATGCACTAAAGGCGAGAAAAGAAAAAAAAAATATATATATATATATATATATATATATCAAAATATCAAGACTTTCTCTGGCAGGGAGGCAGTTGAGCAGCTTGAGACTTGGTCAGGTACAAAGAGAAAGTTGGCTAGAGAGTGCAATAGGAGAAGTTTCCTTTTGCAGTGCAGAAAGCTGGGGGAGGCCTGTTCACATCATGGCGTCTACCAGACTAGTGTTGTTGAGTAGGTCTGCTAGTGACGTCACATCAAATGTGTATCTGCTAATAATGGAACATAGCGTCGTATACCTAACCTAACTTTATAATGACATGTGTCTTAAATCATAATTCAACAGGTGGTCTTGACAGTCAGTTGTTTCCGGTTGACATTTTCAAAAATAATTAAAGAAAATTCCAAATTACATATTTGATGGATGATCCTCAGACTCATAAGATATATTGTAAAAGTCTCTCTCTGTAACTGTTTTAATATTTTAATATGTTGTATTGTCCCCATTTACACAATCCATCTTTTCTCTCAACATTTTTTAACGTGTATTATGTATTAGTGACTGAAAATTAAGTTCTCACTGTCCTTGATGCTGATGAAACAGATCAATAACACAACATTTATCTTTAATCTCAACAAAGATGTAAGTTACATTCAAATATTGTTTTATTGTCTTTAACTTATATATTGATCCACAGTCTCCCTGATGATGATAATAAACATTATCGAAAGCTCGGATAAACTTTAAAGAGTATACTTTATTTTTGCTGCATTCCCCAAACCGATTCCCAAATTGTCTTCGAACTTGTCAGCAACGACGTCCAATCTATATATATATATATAGTACAACGGTCGAAATTTGATGGCGCCACGATCAAATTTCGACCGTTGTACTATGTATATATTGCCTACAGGCACGAAACTTGGTTTGGTTTTCTTTGCTTTTCCTAGCCATACTGATGAGACCTGATAGGTCGAAACGCGTCTATGGATGGAAAAGCATAGAAAATCAAACCAAATATTTTCTTATATATATATATATATATATATATATATATATATATATATATATATATATATATATATATATATACCCCTAAAAACTAAAATTTCCTCCAGGGAAGTGTCCCCCCGCTGAATGGGGGTGAGTTACAAAAAAAGTTGATCAGGAAAAATTGTAGGAAATGTCATCTTAAAAAACCTTTATCAAGAATTTTTTTTTTGTAAAAAACTAAAAAAACTTAAAACTACCCCTATTGAAAAATGGCAGGGGGTGAGTGAAAACTTCATAAAGCAAAAATGTTGTATGAGTTGTAGAAAAATTTTTCACGTTGGTTAAAATTTTTCATTTTCATTATAAAATTTCAAACGGCCCTTATGACCACAGACGGTCCCTAATCAAAAAAGTCTTCAGATAAACATTGTAGATCAAATAATGTTGCACATCTTTTATTTGAAACATTTTTTTGTAAAATCAATAGGTACCAAGTAATCGCCAATGGCGCACTTTCAACCCCTATAGCGCCAAACGCCAGAGGGGTGAATGTTTAATATTTTTGGTTTTATGATCACCCACCCTCCCCCTATCATCCCTGAAAAGTTCTTTTGGGTAGGATTTTTTTTTTTTTGAAAATCGACAATTTTCCTAGACTAAAAATGAATGAGAAAAATTCAAAGACGCAGAATAGAAAAAAATATATAAAAATAATAATTGAAGAACTAAACCTTAAACTTTTCATTTCTCATAATAATTCTCTTTCCAGGCTCTTAAATTTACAAAAGCGTAGAACTGCAATGCTAATATTAAAATATTTTTATGAAAACTTACACTTTTTCTGTAAGTTGATAGTTAGGGTTAGTTTGGGTTAGTTTGCAATTTTAATCAGACCTTACCGATAATAACCCGGTGAGTTTGCAGTTTCAATATTAATAAACTTTTAACGATAATAACCCGGTTAGTTTGGGTTAGTGTGCGATTTTAATCAAACAATAACATTATGCTTTCCAAATTATTGATTTTCGAAATAAGCGTTTTCGAAAAATATAAATATTTTCAAAATTATTGAATTTTGAAAGAAAGGTTATTTGAAATAAGCGTCTTCGAAAAGGTTTATTCTCGAAATAACAGCGTTCGGAAGAAAATCGAAATTTGTATTTTGAATTGAATTGAACATACATAGAGGACTGATAAAAATTGCAAACTTATCCAAACTAACCAGGTTATTGTTATTATTGTTGGTAATGTCAGACTAAAATTGCAGAATAACCCATACTAACCGAATTATCATCGGTAAGTTTGGAACAGCCAACTAAAACAACTAAAACAAACTCACCGGGTTATTATCGGTAAATTTGGTAATGTCTTTTTGAAACTGCAAACTAACTGGGCTATTATCCATGAGTTTGGTGATGTCTGATTAAAATTGCAAGTAACCCAAACTAACCGGGTTGTTATAGGCAAATTATAGGTAGGTAAGTTTGGATATGCCTAATTAAAATTACAAACTAACTTAAACTAACCGGGTTATTATCGGTAAGTTTATATGTCTGATTGAAATTTCAAATTAACCGGGTTATTATTGGTGAGTTTGTAAATAGCTGAATATCAGTATATTACATACCGAGGTGGGAAGTGTTTCATTACTGTCGAGAGATTAGTTAGTTAACTGAGGCACAAAGCGTCGAAGTCAACTATAATCTCGAGACAGGAATAAAACTTCCTACTGAGGTTTGTATACTATTTTATCTACAAGCGTGCGTTAACTAAGGTATATTACACGATTTTGCGTGCGGTAAGTACCATATTACCGCACGGCGTGCGGTAATGTTATTACTGCACGCTTGAATTACCTACCAGAGATAAATTACCTATCTATCACCTAAATTCTACTTGTCCAATGTCCACTGTCAAAGGGTGACAGACGCGATTTTTTTTTTCATAATTTTTTAAACTTCTTCCGAATATTTTGTTACCCCACGGTTGTAGATAAAATACTGTATTTAATACCTATGGTAATTAGGTTATTACCGTCCTTAGAGAATGTAAACCTCGTCTCACCGGCTCGGTTTGCAAATTTCTCTCGCGTGCGGTAATAACCTAGTTACCACACTTATTATACAGGGTGTCCACTTAGTGCGATATCGGACGATATCTTTTTACAGGGTGATGCGAGGGGTGATGCAAGAAAAAAAATTTAAATTACAAAGTTGTTTGATGCTCTAATATGCATTAGTTAAAAATATCTTTGAATATACAGGGTGCTTCGTTAATAGGGTATGCGTCAGAACTTTGTTATTTCAAATAGAACACTGTATGTGATTGCATATTTGGATTCTACGTAAAATTCTGAGCAGATTTCATGTAATATACCCTATACCTAAGTTCAACTGTTTTGGAAATATTGACAGTTGAAAATTGACTTTTTGCAAATTTGACAGGCTGTGAAACCTAAACGGTTGAATTTAGACGAAAACCGATTTAGCATTCCTATCTTAGATTTTCATAAACTATCATTTGACACCAACTTTGAATTTAACCGGAGATTAAATTTAACTAGGATTTTTAAAAATCTAAGATAGGAATGTAAAATCGTCTAAAATTAACCGTTTAGGTTTTACAGCTTGTCAAAGTTGCAAAAAGTCAATTTTCAACTGTCAATTTTTCCAAAACAGTTGAACTTAGGTATAGGGTTTATCACATGAAATCTGCTCAGAATTTTACGTAGAATCCAAATATGCAATCACATACAGGGTGTTCCGTTAAAATTAACAAAGCTCTGTCGCATACCCTATAAACGGAGCACCATGTATATTAAAAAATATTTTTAACTAATGCATATTAGAGTATCAAACAACTTTGTAATATTTTTTTTTTTTCTTGCATCACCCTGTAAGGAGATATCGTCCGATATCGCACTAAGTGGACACCCTGTATATTATACTATTATTTACAACAATTACAACCATCAAAATTTTCGAATAAATACTAAATACAAATTTTTAAAAATTTGTTGACAAGTTCGGACTTATCTAAAACGTTTGACATGCAGGACTTGTCTTTAACATTTTAGGAAATGAAGGCTTACTTTCCACCCGGGGTGGAAAGTAAGTACTTTCCACCCGGGACCACTTTTCACCCGGAAGGATAATAAAATTCAAAAAAGTATCACTTTGGAACTTTTGAAAGGTCAGAAATGTCAACATTACGTATGTTGTTGTAAATAAAATTGCATACTAACCCAAACTAACTGGTTTATTATAGGTAAATTTGGGAATGTTTGAATAAAATTGCAAACTAACCGGGTAATTATCGGTAAGTTTGGTGATGTCTGGTTAAAAGTGCAAAGTAACCCAAAGTAACCCAAACTAACCGGGTTAGTATTGGTAAGGTTGGAAATGTCTGCAAGCTAACCCAAACTAACCCTAACTTTTAACTAAATTTACAAAAAAAGTGTAAATTTACAGAAAAAGTGTAAATTTACAGAAAAACTGTAAATTAACAGAAAAACTGTAAATTTTCATAAAAATATTTTTCAATATTAGCATGGCAGTTCTACGCTTTCGTATGAATTAGATTTTTTTCAGAAAATTCAGTCTGGAAAAAAAAATAAACAAAAATAATAAAAAATATTCAATTCACTCCAGACTTCAACCTTATGAAAAGTTATATTTCCCTAATGCGAGCATTACATTACCTATCAAATTTGTGTAATTCCATAGTACAATTCAGTCAAATCCCAATTAATGCTCGTCTGCAATGATTTGCTTGCATTTAGCGTAAACAACCTTTTGCATAAAAATTAGCGGAAATACCTTATTAATTGTCTAGTTTTTTTTTATAGATAGATAAAATCAAAGAGTTAGCTTAGGTCAGCAACAACAAATAAAAGTCTATTGACTTACCGTGCACAACAAAAAAAAAATTAAATGCGCATATGAGAAACAAAATAATGCATGAATAAATTATTAAGTAAAGTCATATTTCAACCGCACAAAATCACTAATGAGGAATCTCATTTCATATTTCAAATTCGATACTTCCGATTTTGTTCCGCACTGACTACTGACTAACGCGACAATAAAAAATATTTATAGACTTCGATGCCGGTTAATAATTGTCCATGGGAATTTCGCAATTAAAAGATGTTCATTTTAACTTATTAAACCATAACTGGAAGCCAGGAAATTCCAAATATACTCCCACTATTGTAGCGGTTACCAGTAGCTTTGTTCCAACACAGCTGGAAAACTGTCAAGTTTCTGGCCAAAGCCCAAAATTACTGCATTATTTGTATACAGAGTGGTCTTGAAGTGCTTTTTATGAAATGTTTGAACATAATCTTTTGCCTTGTTACTCTTGCATGCTTGATTTGGTATCTCTTTTTTAGATGCGTGCGCACCTTTGACTTTATTTACTGAGATTTTGCAAAGGTTAATTTATGTTTAATGCAATAAATTAATACAGGGTGAATGTAGTTTAAAAAAAATATATCCAAACAACATCACTATAATATTAAAGAGGAATAATTATGCAAGTTTAAAGACATTTTATTAGCGAATTAAGACAATAATTGTCTCATAAAAAGAGTCAGCTTTCTCTTAAGCACAAGAAAAATCGACAAACTTATTTGGGTCAATGTATATGTTACATAGCGATTATTAAAAGTAAGTCGGGGAATTCTTCGAATTCTCAGAATCCATGTCGGGAAACAAATTAAAAATCTCATCAACACATTCAATTCGTTAATGGCGAATGCGCTAGTTAAGTAACTTTATGATTTAACCGGTTTTGTATTTAACTTAAGTACCAAGATGGCGCGGTCATCGGTACTTTCACACACGCACACACAGACAAATACGTATGACGTAGTCAGTAGATAAGCTATTTGTGTCGGTTTTTGTCCGTCTTCGACAACACAGACGAGTTATTCAAAAGGTTGCCGTCTGACTTTGAATTTTTTCGGACAAATATCGGGGTGAAAAAACGCGTTTCCGTACTTAAAACTAAACAACAAATGAATTAAATCTTGGATTTCGAGTGTTATGTGACTGTTGCGCCCATCTTTTGTATCGAGGGATTATTCGAGTGACTTTTAGTGTTTGTGTTTGCCTAATGATAATGAATAGTTTTCGTTCTATGATATGGTTAGTATTTAGTTTAAAAGTTAAAATAAAAGTTCGCCTACACTTACTAGTCGCCAATGGTATGCCAAACGTCAAAAGTGACGTCAATTTTCTCGACGCCCCCGTTCTACACTTGCGAAAACACACACTGACCAAAAAGAAGAAAGAATTGAGATTTTTCTAAGTGTTTTTGTTATACTTAGATATTTGTTTGGGGGTGTTGATAAATGTATAGTTAGGACAGTTTTTGACTGCTAACCCAAACTAAATCTCATTGGAACAGAATTTTCCTTCTATGATAAGTCAGCTTCAAAAGCTGTATTATTATTGAAGCGAAATCTTATTCTTTTGATTCGAAATTTTTTAACATTCAATAATAGGAAATAGGTTGCTGCTTTATGAAATTCTCTCTGGAAATAAGTTAATGATTTTGTTAGAAAAAATCCGAATGAAGCTTTTGAATCTCAACAAAAACGCTCTATCTCATCTCCGAAATAATTATCTCTACATCAGGCTCCAAAAATTATCTACTTTTTTCGAACACCCAGTATCTAATACAGGGTCTTTCGAATAGCTTGAAGTAGGTACCTACATGGAGATTTTGGAAAACAGGATTTATTGAGTAGGATCTTTTTTTCAAACAAACCAAACCAGAAGTGGATCTCAAGCTTAGAAATGGAATCATGAATTTTTTCTCACTTAAATGAAAAAAAATCTTATAAAACTTGTACCTATTAAATCACTTTTGGAAGCTTCTGAAAAATACTTCAAGTAATCAGAGTGACTTCAAACTTTCAGGATTTATTAAGTAGGGTCTTTTTATCAAACAAAACAAACCGCGAATTGATTTCAGGCTCAGAAATGGAATTAAATGCGAAAAAATCTGATAAAATTTGTATTGAATCACCTTTAAAGGCTTCTGTAAAATACTTCAAGCAAACAGAGGAACCTCAAACTTTCAGGATTTATTGAGTAGAGTCTTTTTATCAAACAAGGCAAACCAGAAGTGGATCTCTAGCTTAGAAATGAAACCATTATTTTTTTCTAACTTAAATGCAAAAAAATCTTATGAAATTTGTATTAAATCACATTTGGAAGTTTCTGAAAAATACTTCAAGTAATCAGAGTGACTTCAAACTTTCAGGATTTATTAAGTATGGTCTTTTTAGCAAACAAAACAAACCGCGAATTGATTTCAGGCTCAGAAATGGAATTATGAATTTTTTCCTAGTTAAATACAAAAAAATCTTGTAAAATTTCTATTTAATCAGCTTTGGAAGCTCCTGAAAAATACTTCAAACAATCAGAGGGTCTTCAACCTTTCAGGATTAATTGAGTAAGGTCTTTTTATCAAACACAACAAACCGCGAATGGATCTCAGGCTCAGAAATGGAATAATGAATTTATCTCACTTAAATGTAAAAAAATCTTGTAAAATTTCTATTAAACCACCTTTGGAAGCTTTTGACAAATACTTCAAGCAATCAGAGGGACTTCAAACATCAGGCTTTCTGACGGTGACAAAATATACAAGGTGTTTCATTAAAAATAAGGCAGTAATTTTATTACAAAAAATCGCATGTGTGTAAAACCAAATTCCCACAACAAACCAAATCTTGTTTCTAAGATATTTACCTGCAAAATATGTTAGTTTACCTAAGGACACCCTGTATAATAATCAAATTGTTGAGATGCGTTTTCCACTGAACGCAAGTTTTTGCTTTCGTTGTTGCCGCATAGTATGAAACTTTTTCTAAAATTATCGAAAAAAAATGTATACAAAAGTAACATTCTGTATTTTTAATCAATCATATGGATTTGTTATAATTTTCGTCACCGTCATTAATTCATCAGAGTGTACGAAAACACACCTGAGAGTTATTCAACATGTCGTTTTCAAAATCGTAAGTATATATGTACGTACAGGGTGCTTCAGATTCAAAGATTAGATATAACTTTTGGGTCTGAGGAATTATTGCAAGACATGATATTTAATGACGGAGCTGAAAATGAGATCAACCTAAGCAGGACTTTCTTTGAACTTCGGAAGAACAAAAACCATATCCTCAGGAAGTGACAGGATTCGTTTAGATGGTGTGTGGATCATAGAAAATTTTTGGTGCATAACATCAAGATTTGCGAATTGGACAGCAGAAGAATCCAATCTTTGAGCTGAAAAGGTAAGAATAGTTTTGAGGAATCCATATAAACTTGCAGAGGAAGGTATTTAACATAAGCATAAAATCAGGTAAAAAAACTTGAGACTACGCAGTCATAGAAATAATGATGCTGGAGTTCAAAGAAGCTTTCAGATATCAAAACCAAGACATTCTAACAAATTTTAAGACTTTTGGGATTATTTCGAAGGTTTTGCTCATGACGACTCTACTATTGGTATTGCAAGGTATTTTTCCACAACTTTGAAGTATTTTGTTTTTCCTTTATTTCAACATGATAGTTGAACAAAAGATGTATGTATCTAAACTAGAGATCCTGAGCTGGAAAGCTATGCGGGTCATTCAGTATCATATAACATGCTTACAATATACCATACATTATACTATGTCACACAAGAGAAAATATCCAGTACAAGAGGTACTGTATCACAAAGTTGTTGCCTTTATGAATATATTAGTTTTAGTTCTAAATTGTAGATAAAGTCTTTCATTGTACAGTCCCAAAGCAGGGTTGGATGGGACGACCGGGCAAATGCCCGGTGGGCCGGTATAACTCTGGGCCGGTCAAGCCGCAGGCCCGACGCGTCTTAAATAAATAATAAAACTTCAAAATTTATATATTTGACAAAAACATCATGAAAACTATCTAAACAATATTTAAACCATTTAAACTGAATATTATATGTGAGGTCCGAAACCACTGGTGACTGTTTATTTATGATTTTGGGAAATGAGTCAAATCTACGGTTGTGAGTGAAATAAATTTCCGAGAATATAAAGGAAATTTCCCGGAAACTTTCGGAAATATTCTTTTGCTAAATTTGAAGGAGAATTTTGAGAATTTATGAAATTTAAGAGAAATTATGCAATATATTTTATTTTTCCTGAAATATTTCCGAAATATTTCAATTTTCATGAAATATATCCGAAATATTTCATTTTTCATTAAATATTTCCGAAATATTTTATAAATTTGCAATGACGAAGACCAATCAAAAATCGTCATGATAATAAAAATTAATGACGTCGACGTTAAGATACTGAAAAATGTCATATTGAAAAAAGGTCAATTGGTACAAATTGACAAACGAAAAAAAATTGCAAGTTAGATATTATATTAAAGGTGGAAAATAGGATTTTTTCTTATTAAGTTTTGAATTATTATTTATTTCTTTTTCTAAACAATAGCTTAGAAAATATGTATTTATTTGCCTTCACCTTCAGGTATAAAGCAGTATTTTATTGGATTTCATTTTACCTAGCTCTTAAAAGGATATTTGATAGGTGTAGTATAATATTTCAATTTCAATTTCAATTTCAATTTCAATTTATTCCAGGTGTAAGAAATATTACAATATAAAATATAAAACATATAAAATATATATCCTGCATGAGGCGCACATGCGTCTGTGAGCAGGCCTGGTACCTAAACTAAAGTTACCGTAAGAACTAAATTATTTAAAAATGCTTACTTATACTACAAGCTTTATAATATTTCATAAATTATTAATAATTAATGTAAAAGTGTAATAAGGTACAAAATTTCCAAATTTCACAAATGGGTGATGTTTTCATTTATTAAAAATTCTTTTATAATATGTTTAAATCTGTTATTAATTGTTTTACTTTTTTTTAGATTGTTTGGTAATAAATTGAAGAGTTTAATAGCATTTACTTCGGATGACTTTTTACCCACCTCCAATAGTGTTTGTATGCATGGAATATTTCGGTTTCTGGTGTTTGTTTGTCTACATAAATATTGAATTTTCAAGGAGTCATAATTTGTAATTAATGATTTATAATAGTAGTTTTGTTTAATTGTCAAAATCATCTTATTTTTATAGATTTGGTTTAGGTTCACACTTCTTATCCCAAAAATTATTTTAATAATTCTATTCTGTATATTTTGTACATAGTTTATCACATTGCCATATGCACATCCCCAAGAGACGATACCATATGTAGCCACAGATTCAAATAGGGCATAGTAGATCATCAGCAGGGTTTTTGTGTCCAATACATGTTTAAGGTTTTTAAAAACAAATAATAAATATCTTATTTTCTTATTTAACCCAATTATATGTTGCTTCCATTTCATGTTATTGTCCACCACAACACCTAAGTACTTAGTACTTCTAGTACATTCCAATGGTCTGCAGCTACACATGTTACATTCTCCATCCCGATCATGAATAACTATCCTAAGACTATCAGGAACTTTGTCATTATATGTGCCAAACAACATACAATTAGTTTTTCCTGTATTTAATGACAATCTATTTTTCCTCAACCACGATGCTATTCTATTGATTGACTTGTTAGCTTGATTCTCCAGACCCGCCCAACTCTCCCCCGACAGGACGATTGCAGTATCATCCGCATATGACATAATATGTGAGTCAACGTCTAACTCCAATAGATCATTCAAGTAGATTATAAAGAAAAAGGGTCCTAAAATGGTGCCTTGAGGTATACCCATCTTCACAGTTAATTCTGTGCTGTAGGTGCTGTTAACTTTTACCCGTTGTGTTCTATTACTTAAATAATTCCGGAGCAGATCAAACGCTGGGCCCCTCACTCCCACTCTATGCAACTTTTCTAATAGAATAGAATGATCAACCGTGTCGAAGGCTTTGGCCAGGTCTAGAAAAACAGCCATAGTCGGTTGACTCTTATCCAAACTACTGTATATTGTGTTAGCAAAAACGTTCAATGCATTGTTTGTGGACAATTTTTTCCTGAATCCAAATTGCCTTTTATTCAAAATATTGTATTTTTCAATAAAATTACACAGCCTAAAATGGATTACCTTCTCAAACACCTTAGCAATATTTGAAATTAGGG